GCATCGGCGTGGACATGGGGGCTGGCATCGGCGTGGACATGGGGACGGGCATGGGCGCGGATATGGGGGCGGGGCGGGCATCCGGGTGGGCATGGGGGCAGCGCGGGCATCGGCGCGGCCCCGCCCGGCTCCAGCCCCGCCCAAGGCAGTTTAGGGTCGGGCGTGGGAGCCGCTGAGGCCAGGCCTCCCACATCCCAAACCCTGCTGAGGTTTCCGCCAGGATCCCCGACCCCCCAGGCCAATGATCCCCTCACTGGGTGGGTGGACCTAGGTCTGCAGGAGAAAGGAAAGGAGCCAGTTATGGGAAGAAGGGGCTGCCCTCCCCACTTCACCCCCAAACAGACTTCCAGAGAGGAGGGGTCTACATAGAATATTTATTTATCCTCTCACATGACAAGACACAAAAAATTACTTCTTAAAACTCTTCAAAAAAAAAAAATATATAATTCTGTAAGCAGCAGCAGCAGCTTCCAAGGTACAGATGTAATGGGAGGGGCAGCTCCCAGGAACAACCGTCAACGGGGGGGCTCAGGCCTGAGCCCCAGGTAGTGTCACTGGAAGGGGCCCCGCGGAGGGGGCCGTTTTGGGGACACAGCACCAGCACATCAGGATCAGTCACCAACACAATCACAGGGCCAGGGAAGGGCAGTACTGAAGGGGGTACTTTTGGACTGTGGTCAGAGGCCTTGTGTAGAAGCCCAGGGAACAGGGTGGGCCCTGGGAGGACTGGGAGTCAGCTCCTGCCCCCTCCACAAGCACAGCAGGTGTCCCCAGGCTCCATACTGGTCCCCATGCCTGCCTGTGGCCCTGGACAATCCCAGACCAGGTGGGGATGGGGGTCTCAGAAGAGGAGCTGAGATGGAGAAATAAATTCCTGGACGGGATCAGCAGAGAGCCTGGGGCGCACACAGTGCATGGCCATGTGGAGAAGGGAAGCAGCCCCCCACCCACAGCCCCATTCTGGAGGGGCCAGGCCAGCTGAGGGCTGGTGGGCACAACCTGCTCCCCTCAGCACACGCACATTCACACACACCTCAAACAATCTGGGCCCCGGCCTGAGGTGGGAGTCAGAATTCAGCATGACCCCCCACCTAGGACTCCTAGCTCCACAGGGGGGACAGGACTCCCCTGCAAGGCTGGCCGGGGAGGCAGAGTCGAGTCCTGGCTGAGACGGAAGAGCAGCAGGGGAGGACGGATGGGCAGGTGGACGGACAGTTGGGTGGGAGCGTGGGTAGAGCCACTGGGGCTTGGCAGGGTCAATAAATAGGTTTGTGCAGGGTCCCCTTTGTGGACCAGGAGAGCCTTGGAGACAGGAGCTGATGGACTGGGAGGTAGGGTCCAGCCTGCCCACCCCAGGCCTGAGGGCCCCCAGCTAAGAGACCAGCTCCGTCCCTGGGGGTGTTCAGGCTGGGGCAGGACTGGGACAGGGGCTGGCTTCAGGAATGTAAAGATTTCTGCATTTTCTACATAGGACTTGATCCCAATGGTTGTGCAGGCAGGACCCCCAGGGGGCCTGTGTGCACACCACCCACATGGACCCTTCACCCCTCCCCTGCCGCCCAGTCCAGGGCGAGGGCTGGGGAGCGATCTTCCCTCACGAAGCCCTGGGCTAGCCAGACGGGGGGCTCAGGCCTGAGGGTCCTGCAGCAGCCCCAGCAGGGACTCGGCGATGCCCAGGAAGTAGACCACCTGGGCAATGCCAAACAGCGGGGCGATGACCAGGGCTCGGCAGTAGGCGCCCTTCAGGAAGGCCGAGGGGCCCTCGTGCCGCAAGATCTTCCTGTGGGGGAGGGGAGGGTCAGAGCCAGGGCAGCGGCCCCAGCCCCGGCCCCAGCCCCCTGCCCTTATGGGATCTTGCCCACCTGGCACAGTCCAGAATCCCCGAGTAGGTGTCCTCGTGGATGCCCCGCTGAAGCGACTGGAGCCGCGTCTTCACCACTGCAAGGAGGTGTGCAGGTCAGCGTGGGAGCCCCCTCACCTCCGGAGCCCAACCTCTCTGCCCCATCCCCAGCCTGGGGCCCAGGCCCAGCACTGACCATCACAGGGGTTGACGGCCACAGCGGCCGCACTGCCGGCCACACAGCCAGCCAGGAAGGACACGTAGAAGGGCGACTTCTCCTCAGACACTGGGCGGCCCAGCTGGTTCAAGTTGGCAAAGAGTGGGAAGTAGACAATGGAGAAGGGGACGTCCCTGTGGGGAGGTTGTGGTGGTGACCAGGACATGGCGGGGTGGGGGCAGGCCTCCTCCTTCTGCCCTCCCCGCCCCTCCCACCTGAGCAGCGTGGCCCCGAGTCCCTTGTAGAGGCCAGCGATGCCGCGGCTCTGCAGCAGGTCGCGGGTCAGCTGGGTGGCCGTGGGCCGGGGAGCAGCCGGAGTCTCCACTGAGGTCTGGGCACCCCCCTGGGCTGAGAGCTGGGCCTGGGCAGCCAGTACCTTCTTCTGGGCAGCTGGGGAGAAAGGGGCTGCTGTCTCCTCCTCCTGGAGGGGGCAGGTGACGGGCATCCAGCTGTGGTCCCGCCCAGCTCTCTGTCCCTCCCGCTCGCCCTCACCAATGCGGCCTGCGTCCTGCAGCTGGATCTTCAGCATCTCCATGGGGGTGGTCACGATCACCTGGCAGGTGCCAGCCCCGCAGCCAGCCAGCATCTCCCTCAGCAGGGTCAGCTTCTGCCTGTAGTGGTGGAGGTGGGGCCGCGATGAGGGGGAGGAGGTCCCCACCACCCAGGGTGAGACGGGGACTGCCTGCCACACACGAGGCTGCCCGCTCTGCCTGGGTGTATAGGGGGACGGGAGCAGTGGAGCAGACGCAGCCCAACCCCCGCCTCAAACCCTTCAGCAACAGGCACTGAGCCCAACGGACAGATGGCCCCATGGCAGGGGCCTGGGAAGGGCAGTGGGGCCCGCCTCCTACAAAGAGAAATGGGGAACTGGGGGTCTTGAGTGCCCTGAGAAAGGCCCACCCTTTGCAGCTCCACCCTCTAGGGATGGGGAAGCTCACTGGTGGACCCCACATCCTGGCCTGCAAGGAGCAGCCGTGCGGACTCAGCATCTGCTCACGCCTCCCCTGTGGGGGTGGGACGCCCACAAGGTCAAGAAGCCCCGGTAAGGAGCCTGAAGGAGGGCAAGGTCCCCAGGACCTCCCAGGTGGGACCCAGCTGGCTGGGCGGACCTCCCTTCTTTGTTTGGGGCCTAAGGCCCACTCAGGTGCTTGCCACAGGCCATGACCGTCACAACCTGGGCCCCCAGCAGCCAGGCAGGCTGGAGCCCCTCACCCATCCTTAGAGAGCTGATGTCGGAAGAAATCGTTGGCTGCCAGCTTGATGGCTTTCTCAGGGGTGACAAGGGTCAGGTTCACAGCGGCACCTGTGGGGCACACGGGATTAGACTGTGATGGAAAGCAAGTGGGTCAGACAGAGCCAGGCACCCAGGATCAAGAGGGGTCTGGGGAAGACAGGTAGGGGGACAGACACGCGCAGTGGCCTGGGCTAGGGAGGCTCTCGGCTGGCACTTGCCTCCCACTGGCAAAGTCCTACCCAGCATTTGTTGGCCACGGCCTCCTGCCCTCTCACCCACATTAGGGCTGGGTTTGTGCCAGGTGGGGGCGGGGACCAGGCAGGGATGGAGTGGGGTGGGGTGGCCCGGCCCTCCCCCTGCTCCCCGCACACTCTGCTCTCCCTCCCTTCTATGATCCACCCCATCCCACCTCCATCTGTCTCTGGTAGGAATAGGCTTCACCCTGCGCTAATGGGTAGTGGGGACCAGACCCTCAGAGCCCATAGGTGGGCCTTCCTGGGGAACACCTCCATCCCTGGGGGACAGAAGGTGCTACACTGGCAGGGGGGCTGGGGTGAGAGGACACAGGTGTGTGTGGCAATGGAGAGCCCCCCACTCAGTGCCGAGGGCTCAGGGCTGCACAGCATCTGGGCAAATCCAGGCTTGGGGATTGTTTCCTAAGCTGCTTTGCAGTAATGCCCCCCGCCCCCTCCCAGTCTCCAAGCACAGGGTCCCGCCTATCCCAAAAGGCAGGGGAGGAGACTGCAGCACCACGGTGGAGACCCAGATCACGCGTGCTGCCACACAGGCATTGGCATCAAGTGGGCAATGGGGGTGGTGCCCAGAGGAGGGGCTGAGCACTGCTCCTCACCAGAGACCCGGCCCCTCAGTCTCTCCCCACAGTCCCCAGGGCTGGGCCGATGGCCCCAGTAGAGGTGCAGCCAACCCCCATGGGACAGGTCCACACTTACACAACAGGCACAGGCTCACTTCACTGCCCCTGCCCCTGCCTCCGCCTCCCAGCGAGGCTGTGGAAGGTGCTACCCAGGACTGCCCTGTCACAAGCCTTACCCCGGTACATGCCAAAGTAGCCCTCCGAGCGGATGGTCTTGATGAGGCAGTCAGACCTGCAGCCAAGCGGATGGGGGTGAGTGGGGGGCCAGCCCGGCCACCCCTCCCCACACTCCTGAGTGCAGATGGAGGCCAGCCCCTTCCCTGCCAGGCCTAGCACAGGGGCTGGCCTGGGTCCGGGGTCCCTGGAGCATCTAGGGTTGACAGAGGCCAAGTCCCAAACCCAGCAATGACCCCAGCCCTGACCCAGATGGGATCTCCACCAGGCCTGCCCTGCCCTCAGTTCTCCCTCTTGTTCAACTGGTGGCGGGGGCACAGGAGCAGAGCTCCGAGGTGTAAGTCTCACGGCCCTGCCCCCACGGCCCTGCCGGGCACACTCACATGCTCGAGTACATGCGCTGGCCATTCTGCTGGTTCTGCAGCCGTGTCTTGGCCAGGTCAATGGGGAACACACAGGTGACCCCGATCAGCCCAGCGATGCCGCCATTGATGAGCTTGGCTGGCAGGCTGTGTGGACAGAGGGGTGTCAGGACCAGCTTCCTCTACCCAGGTCGGGGGAGGACGGCGGGGGTGTGAGGGGTTGCATCTGACCTGATCTGCTTATCAGCCATTTAACTCGAGTGCACCCAGGTAGGAGCTGGAGAGGTGGACGGAGACGGTGGTGGAGCTGGACGTGGAGATGGGGGAAGAGGGAGAGGCAGCGGCCGCAGTCCGAGCGTGGGTGGGGCCAAGCGGGGAGGGGCAGTCCTCCACCTTCAGAGAAATTTCAAAGCCACCACCACTTCTGTCCTGGAGGGAAGAGGGGAAGGACACAGTGGAGGGCGGGCCGCACCAGCCCCCTCACCCCACCCCAGGCTGGAGCCATCACCGTGTCCTGGGATGGACGGGGGAGGAAAGGCGCCTGCCACCGGGCCCCATCCCTAAGGCTCACACACGCTCACACACGCACACGCGCTCACGCTCACGTGCACGTGCACACGGGGTGCGCTCTGGCTTTTAAAGGGCCAGGCGCCTCTGGAAGGAGAAGTGGCAGGGGCCGATCAGCCCACAGGACCCTGGACCCTGGACCCTGGCTTGAGCTGAGGCAGCCAGCACCTCCCCTCCTCAGGATGGGGGCTGAGGTCTCCTCACCGGCTCCTCCCTGGCACCCCCGGATCTCCCAGCTGGGCTCAGCTCACGGCTGCCCAGATGGACTCGGCCAGGTACGGCCCCTGCTCCCATGGCAGCTCCACTCTGACCCCGCAGAGCCCCTGCCCACCCACTCCCAGCCCTTTGCCCACCCTCGTCCTCCCCGCCCCTCCCAGGAGCTTCACTCCCAGACACACAGGAACGCAGCAACCGGACCTCTGGAGGCCTGTGTGTGGCATGAGGGGAGGGGTAAGGGGAGAAGGGGCCTCTCCCACTAGGGGCAGGGCTGGGGAGCCACATCAGCTTCAGGGGCCTCCCATGGGGGACACAGCCACAAAGACTGAGCTGTGGGGGGCCTCCCCCGTGTCTCCCCGCTAGGCTCTTGGAGACCAGCTGTCACAGGCTCACACGGGCAGCGGCAGCGCTACCCCAGGTCACACGGCTGGCTCACATCCGCAGTCCCTCAGAGGACTTGTGACCTTCACCCCAGATCTCCAGGGCCTGGCCATCCCCCACCTCCTGCAGCCCCGCTACTCCAGCCGCTGCTGGGTCCCGCTCACCCCGAGGTGCACAGAAGTCCCCTCCAGGACTCCAGCAAGCCTGCTCACCAAGGAGACAAAGTGGGAGGGGAGCCGCGGGATTGGCCACGGGGCGGGGGGGGCGGGCCTTGGGGGGGGGCGACTTTCTCTTTCACTTTGGGTAAGCTGGGGCTTCCTGCAGCTTTGGGAGAAGGGATGGAAGGTGTGAGACAGCTTCTGGGGGACAGGGCCC